TATTATTATTATTATTATTATTATTATTATTATTATTGCTGTTATTACTATTATTATTGTTATTATTGTTATTGTTATTGTTGTTGTATTATTGTTATTTATAATTTGTACAATTAACCTCCTTGTGGTTCGACTCCGGTCTTGCCGGGTTATTTATTACTTCGACACTCATGCACTTGGAAAAAGACATCAATCTTTTAGTCGTGTCAATTAACAAGTCTTTAACTTTGTGAAGGTAAAGATATAAAAGAGAGAGGGTAGATGAACTATGGGAATTTGCAGGGGAAAGATGTAAAAGAGAGAGGGTTTGTGTGATGTTTTTAAGCTTTAAAGCATTGGGGAGTGAAGGAGTAAAGAGGGTAGATGAATTTTGCGAGGTGATGGTGATGAAATTAAAAGTCCTTTCTCTTTTTGCATAAAACAACCACAACATCATGTTCATTTCTCTCCCATGCTCTTTATATTGGGTTCCACAAAATAACCCGGGTTTTATGGGTCAACCCAGGTTGACCCATAAAACTCGTGACCTAGTTCTTTGACTGGGTCAATTTCCGAACTGGGTTTAATAACTATGTCAAGAATTAATGTTAGAGAAAACTAAATGCAATTCTTTGGGTTGACCCATAAAACTCGTGACCTAGTTCTTTGACTGGGTCAATTTCCGAACTAGGTTTAATAACTATGTCAAGAATTAATGTTAGAGAAAACTAAATGCAATTCTTTGACCGGGTCAATCTCCAAAGCAGGTTTAATGACTATGTGAAGAATTAATGTTAGAAAAAACTAAAGGCAGGCGGTGCAACAAACAAAAAATTGATCAAGAACATGAAAGAAAGAAATGGATTTGTCAAGAACATTAGTGAATCATGATCTTTGAGGCTGACCAAAACTTTAATAATATAGCTGATTAGCATTGAAAAGTGCACTTTTATCAAGGTTTTATATCAGCATTTGGCACTTGAAGTATCAACAACTCCTTAACTAAAGCATGTTTTATAATAACAAGTCTAATACTATAAAATACCTTTAATTTATGATAAATATTCATCTTAAATACAGGCCTATCATATAAATCAAAGGATTGATTGATGAGTTCAACTACTAAAATTGAGAAGACAAAGAGAGGGTGAAACTTAGAAAAGAGATACTAGTTTAGTCCAATCTAGAATACTATTTAGTCATTGGGTCATATTTGGAGCTGTAAAACTTAGATTTGGGTTACTTTATATGGATGGAAAGCTAAGAAATACACCTAAAACATTCACGTGGAAGGAAATGCTCAATTCTGCTATTTGGAAGACAAAGCTACTTTATATTTGAATTCAACTACTGAAATTGAGAAGACAAAGAGAGGGTGAAACTTAGAAAAGAGATACTAGCTTAGCCCAATCTAGAATACTATTTAGTCATTGGGTCATATTTGGAGCTGTAAAACTTAGATTTGGGTTACTTTATATGGATGGAAAGCTAAGAAATACACCTAAAACATTCACGTGGAAGGAAATGCTCAATTCTGCTATTTGGAAGTCCAAATCTTAGTAACAATGGAGAAGTCCGAATCTGTCCTACAACATA